TATTTGGCTTGAGCAGATATCTGAAGTGACTCCACTGCTCAAGAGCTTTCCGACGAACCAAGAATCACTTCAATCGGAGCACGAACAAGAAAGTTACGAACGTTGGAGTTCGTATGCTTTTGATATTTGGTTGTGGTGACCATGGAGAGTTGTGGGGTTGACTCAATATGGGGTACAGACTTTTGGGGGTTGGGAAACTCGTCACTACTACTGTAGTTGCTGCCAATTGGTTGGGAGAAACCAAACCAGGTTGGCAAGTGTGGCCAAGTTGGGTTGAGGTGGATTGTGGAGGTTGGGATAGTGACAAAGGTCAAAGTTGGGTTGCCTATGGGGAAGGGAATTGTGTGGCATGGAGTTTTTTTTGGTTGGGGACTCCTTTGGACCTTCCCTCTCGTCCTCCTCTTTCCTCCTACCTGGTTTAGTGCTACTCTAACTCTCTTGTCTGCAACTCTTGTGAACTTGTGAAACTATTGTGAGTGAATTTAATTTCTATGTGGCAGCATACCCCCTGGTGCGCCGAGAAGCATAACTCGAGATTTACTCCACCTTTCGATACGATTCAAATTGGGAATGATAGCCACAAATAAGGGCTATAACATACTCGAGTTTGAGACGATTCTAACGGTGCACTTTCTGTCGACAACGTTTCTTGTGAAGTCGCAGTTTCTGTCCAGAATTTCAAGCCAACGATTTTGAGAATTTTAGCCACCTAATCTTCGTAGACTCCATCCTTAGTCTCTAACACCGTTGCGCAGGTATTCGCTCTCAAATGGCAGTATGCTGTTGTCTCGTAACTCAAAACGGGGTAACTAAATAATTGAAGAACCATCATCCGATATGCAGGTATTTACGAAACGAGGTCGTAAAATGTTGTTCGTGGATCATTGATTCGGACGCTGATGCATGGGCTGCGAGCATCCCGCTACGGCACGTCAAGGTGAGCGAAATTGCCTTGTTTGTACGAGCTCCGAGCCCATGCATCTCTTTTTCTCGCAACGCGATTTCCTCCACCAACCCCCAATTTCGGACGGGCCTTACACTGCCATAATTGACCCTGTGTGTTTTCAGATTCCAATGCAGGACAATGAGAACGACTGTGGTGTGTTCGCGATGCGTGTGATGCACACATTGGTCGAGGATGGTTTCCGTAACCTCCCTGCGTGTGAGCTTGTCGGTACGCCACTCAAATGGCGTCGTCAGTACCGTCGCGATTTGAGGAAGTGGTCTGTGTTTTTTCGGGGAAAGACGATGGTGGAGGTTAGAGGTGGGGCATGAGGTGGGTCTAAGCTGGTAATGGGGCGGGGAGCTTGGTGGAACGCGACTGGAATGAGAATGACGGGGTGAGCGAAGGGGGATGAGGCTGATAGCAAAGGGGGAGTGAGACGGGTATGAAGTGGGGATTGAGACGGGTAGCAAGGGAGATTGAGGCGGGTAGCAAGAGGGAATGGGGCGGGTAGCAAGGGGGAATGAGGCAGGTAGCAAGGGGGAATGAGGCGGGAAGCATGGGGGAATGAGGCAGGTAGCAAGGGGGAATGAGGCGGGTAGCAAGGGGGAATGGGGCGGGTAGCAAGGGGGAATGAGGCGGGAAGCATGGGGGAATGAGGCAGGTAGCAAGGGGGAATGAGGCGGGTAGCAAGGGGGGATGGGGCGGGTAGCAAGGGGGAATGAGGCGGGTAGCAAGGGGGAATGAGGTGGTTAGCAAGGGAGAATGGGGCGGGTATGAAGTGGGGATTGAGGCGGGTAGCAAGGGAGATTGAGGCGGGTAGCAAGGGGGAATGGGGCGGGAAGCATGGGGGAATGAGGCAAGTAGCAAGGGGGAATGAGGCGGGTAGCAAGGGGGAATGGGGCGGGTAGCAAGGGGGGATGAGGGGGGTAGCAAGGGGGAATGAGGTGGTTAGCAAGGGAGAATGGGCCGTGTATGAAGTGGGGATTGAGGCGGGTAGCAAGGGAGATTGAGGCGGGTAGCAAGGGGGAATGGGGCGGGAAGCATGGGGGAATGAGGCAGGTAGCAAGGGGGAATGAGGCGGGTAGCAAGGGGGAATGGGGCGGGTAGCATGGGGGAATGAGGCGGGTAGCATGTGAGAATGAGGTGGTTAGCAAGGGAGAATGGGGCGTGTATGAAGTGGGGATTGAGGCGGGTAGGAAGGGAGATTGAGGCGGGTATCATGGGGGAATGAGGCATGTAGCATGGGGGAATGAGGCGGGTAGCAATCGGGAATGAGTTTGGTAGCATGGGGGAATGAGGCAGGTAGCAAGGGGGAACGAGGCAAGTAGCAAGGGGGAATGAGCAGGGTAGCAAGGGGGCATGAGGTGGATAGCAAGGGGGAATGAGGCAGGTAGCAAGGGGGAACGAGGCAGGTAACAAGGGGGAATGAGGCTGGTAGCAAGGGGGAATGAGGCATAGGCAGGTAGCAGGGAGCAGGAGGGGATGAGGCGGGTAGCAGGTCTCAGCATAGGGTGAACTTATTGGGCCTATGTTGTCAAACAAGACCTATAAGGAGGATCTGTTTGTCCCACCGTCCAGTCCATCGTTACAAGCCAACAAGCAAGTCACAGAACGCGTGGGTGAGGCTTCGAAACAGTCCTCATCACTCACGTGACCAAACAGCAAGTGTTTGTCACCTCTTGTCAAGCATGAAATAAGAACATACAACACATCAAGCAATTGATTTATGCACTATAGCTGCCCTACAGGACAAGAGTGCAGACACGCCCCATGATGGGAGTTTGTGTTGGAAACAATCGGTCCTAAGCGCCTGTGTCGTGTCGAAACACCAAGACACAAACGAAGCAAAACACTACAGTATCGAAGCACCAGCGAGTCAACCCTCGGAGGTTGAAGTAACTGTCGGAGGTTACGCGAAGGTCAAAGGTCAGCGACCTTTGACCTGACAAGTACAGCGCGACAGCAAGGACACACAACTGACTCGCTGCAGAGCAGTTGCCCGAGTCGTCACTGTATCGAACCGCAACAGCAACAGTAAAGTAGTTGCAACCGTATCTCTTCGTATTCCTTGTACTCTTATATAATCTTGTATCTCTTTGCTTTAATCAACTTACTTTGCCCTCACATACTAGCGCAAGGTGGTTCACAACACTTTAATTAACGCTTCCGCTACTACACCAAGTCTACCCAGAGTTCACCCCTGCAAAGATCCTAAGGGCTTTTCAGCCCAACTGTTTGTGTATGGCACTGGTAATGTTGCACCACAAATGACATACCAGTAGCTACCTTGTTGCGACACCAATATATTATTTACCTAGACCATATTTAAACAACAATCAAGGTAACAGGGTCACTGCTCTCCTTAAACAATTTGACAGTTGGTCCGTGAAGGATGTGTCTGGTTATGCACTGTCGGTGCTCATACTTGTGAGTAAACGTACGGTATTGGACAGCTCAACATTCCTTTGGTAGTAATGATTTATATGTTCTTTCAACACTGTATTGTAGCCTTGCAAATAAATGTGTCATTTTGTGCCCCCCGTGCGCCATACCACTTACCTCAGTTCATTGCCACGAACGTTGTTCTCTCCGACTTGCGACCCAATCGCCACCACTCACAACTAACTCCCGAGCATGCGTTCTTATCGCAGGTGTTCCATAACGGCTTCGTATCAGACTGTCGCATCGCTGTACGAATTGCGCCAATGGTTCGTCCCCGTTTCTCCGAAGTGGTGATTTTACTATTGACGTGACGCCTGCGCCAAGCTTCGTGCGGCACGCGTGAAAGACTATGAAAATTAGCCACATAAAGTCTGTGCGGGCAGAATAGATATCTTTCGTGAGCCCTAATACACTAGCGCACGTTTAAGCACTAGCAACATTTTGTATCGCTCCCTGCCGCTAATGGACGGATAAACGCCCACTCCCACTGAATCATGCCCCATTGGAGCCGCAATTTTTTTATGGATGCACGTTAACCACCGTGTGATTGGTTGTTGGAGGAAACGAGGAACCTGGATGTCGCAAGGTGGAACAGAGCAGGAAACACTCAAACCCTCGTCACCTCCGTGCTCCTCTTGCGTGCCTGCTTGTGGGACGGTCATCTGCTCCAGACCCCTGTCTGATCCTCGTCCCTTCTATGCTCAACAATTTTTTAGTGCGCGAAGCGTAGCTATCAGGTTGCAACGTCATAACTAACCCACACCTCAGACTACTGCGTGAATGGAAACCTAGACATTGCAATGGATAGTCAGACGATTAAGGGGCCCGATGGGGCGATCGTTTTGGCAGACTCGTCGAAATTGCCGGAGGAAAAAATTTATATGGAGTTAGTTACAGTAGATAAAACGGCCGAGATCGTTAACGAGTACCGCAAGTACAATGCGTCGTCGGCGCGTGATGACGTTGAGTCAGGACGGGACTCTTCATCTGGTGACGAATCAAATAGCGACGGCGATGTTGGGCCATACGCTAACAAGGGCGTGTCCTCCCCTCCAAAACCAAGGGAGAGGCGCGTGAGGCGCTTAGATGACATCGGTCCCAAAGCCGGCCAGAAAGGTACGTGTCTTTGGTACCATCTGCTGAAAGGTAGACTTGCATAATTAATTACCTCCGACCGATCCAGTAAGTGCGGTTTGCCGTCGTGTTTGACTTGTTCCCGTTACTGAAGCTCCGATTGTGCTCCCCCGTAACATTGTCAGAGGACAAGCGTGACAACCGAAAGGGGCGTAAGCGCCGTCAACAAAAGAGAGGCACTACTTCACATGCTGCGTCTGAAGGCGACGAGGAGGTCGAGGACGGCGGACCCGTCAAAGAAGGTGCGTGTTTGTGTAATATCGCCGGTTTCTAAGTAGCTCGTTACTCCCTGCATCGACTGATCATACTGATGCCACTTCGTGCAATTAAGGTTAGCGCGCACTGGACTGCTAATGTTCTTGTGATGTCCGCCCTCGCAGCTCCGTCAGTAGGCAGGCGTGCAGGACAACGCGGTAGATGTTATGACCGTAGCGGGAGGGCTGCGGAGTATCCTGGCAGTCCATCTGGCCGCCTAGGAATGTCTGCGCGTGGCGACGAGCAGGAACATGGTGAGCTTGAAGGGCGTGGTGGTGGAAAGCGCAACAACGCGAAGGCGGCGGCGGCGGCCAAGGGCAGTCCCTCGGGGAGGCTCTCGGAGGACGTGGCTGGTGGCGACGAGCAGGAACATGGCGAGCTTGAAGGGCGTAGTGGTGGAAAGCGAAACAACGCGAAGGCGGCGGCGGCAAAGGGCAGTCCCTCGGGGAGGCTCTCGCAGGAGGTGGCTGGTGGCGACGAGCAGGAACATGGCGAGCTTGAAGGGCGTGGTGGTGGAAAGCGCAACAACGAGAAGGCGGCGGCGGCGGCCAAGGGCAGTCCCTCGGGGAGGCTCTCGCTGGATGTGGCTGGTGGCGACGAGCAGGCGCTGCCCAGGCCCGTTATAGAAGGTTGGCGGTTCCTGGCTACTTCTGTCGTTGATTTTGAGGTTGCATAGCCTTCGCTGCCACCCTCCTTGTATATTGTTACCTGTTGCACCAGCAACTATGTCGTGAGTGACGTGACACCGAGATTGTCTCTCTCATATCCCTCTCGCTGCAGGGCTAGCAGAGCAGCGAGGTGGTGGCGGTATCGATCAGGATGAGGACAAGCCTGCAGCAGTGACTGCTGGGAAAGAACATGGACGTGAAGCTGTGATTCCGTACAAACGACGCAATGCTGTGGACTCGGCCGGTCGCGACCGAAATGCGAGACAAGCTCGACAAGGGACGAAACAGTATGTTTCGAGCTCGTCGGGTTCGGAGGAGGGATCCAGCGACAGTGAGTCAGGCAGCTCATCCGGGAGTGAGGAAGTATACGAGGACGAGGAGGAGGAGGAAGAGGAAGAGGAGGATGAGGAGTTGGAGCCGGAGAGCGAGGATGAGGAGGAGGCTCGGCCTTTGAAGAGGAGGGGTGTGCGGAAGACCAAGAAGGGCAATGGAAAGCGAAAATCGGAGACAGGACGGGTGAAGAGCTATAAGCACAGTGTGCGTCGTGCCAAACCACATGGCAAGCGCCAGAGACCTCGATTCGAAGCTAAAATTGTGGGTGTGCGTAGCAAGGAGAAGCGGGAGTTGGATTTTTACGAGTCCATGGGGCTACGATGTCCATCAAGCCCTCATGATCGGAAAGCCACCGACACGTATGCTGCGTTACGCGAGCAGATGGATTCCTCTGGGAAGGGAGATCCGATCGCTTGGGGGTCAGCGCGGTTTGGCAGGGAAGTGACGGACCCGCATGCAAAGCTTTCGGGGGGTCACGCGGTTCAGGTGAAAATCGAGGGAGCAACGAAGCGGCACGAACCCTCGGCCGCCGCAGCAGCCAATGACGGTGTGGGAGGAGGTGTGTGGGCGAATTCCTTGGGTGAATGTGGCGGCGGTGTGGAAGGCTCCATGTGGGATGTACGGGATAGCAGGGGAGAAGGAGGAGACTTGAAAATGGATCCGGCGACTAAGGAGGGGAGGGGCGAGAGCATGGGCACACCTGGCGCATCCAGTCGGCCCAATGTGGCTGGCGGCAAGACGGTGGAGCAGCTCATGCGGGAGCTTGCCCAACGGGATCGCGAAATTGCGGCACTCAAGGCAAGGCCAGGAGCCAAAGGACCTGTCAAACCCTGCACCCCTCCGTCTAGGCCTCCTCCTATTGCGTCTCTGTCGAGCGGCCCATCTGCAGTGGGCCTCGATCCAGGCGTGGCGCCAGAAAGCCCATCGACGGTAGACGTACCGGTCCGACGAACGCGTGGGATGCCCAAGCCCAAGCTGCTGAAGGTGGGTATGTTTAAGTGTTAAGCAATGTGTGGCATGGGGCTCAGTGATAGCTGCAGCTCTCTCTCTCAACACCTCGTTTCCCCCACCTCTTTATGCTGGTCAGAGTGTTTGTACCATTATGCGCAGTGATAGCGGCCTGGCTGCGGTGTGATAGGCACTCCCAGTACGCCCCGCTTCAGGGACGCTGGCGCTGGGCGTACGATATTCTCACACTCTGCCCCACCTCTGCGAGCTCACCATAACTGTTCTATTTCCTCCCCCCCCCCTCTCTCCCGTCACTCCACCTCCTCTTCCAGAGCCCCTGTTCATGGCGCTGCTTGTCTGGTATGGGTGGCATGCGGCGCAGAGATAGCAGCAGCCCTCTCTGTCATCCCTACGCGCCCAATCCCTTCTTTCCGCTTGCTCCCCCCCCCCCCCCCCCCCCCCCCTCTCTATCCCACCCCTCCCCCTCCTCTTCCAGAGCCCCTCTAAACGGTGCTGCTGGTCTGGTGTGGGTGGCATGCGGCGCAGAGATAGCAGCAGCCCTCTCTGTCATCCCCACGTGCCCAATCCCTTCTTTCCGCTTGCTCCTCCCCCCCCCTCTCTATCCCACCCCTCTCCCTCCTCTTCTAGAGCCCCTCTAAACGGTGCTGCTGGTCTGGTGTGGGTGGCATGCGGCGCAGAGATAGCAGCAGCCCTCTCTGTCATCCCCACGCGCCCAATCTCTTCTTTCCGCTTGCTCCTCCCCCCCCCTCTCTATCCCACCCCTCTCCCTCCTCTTCCAGAGCCCCTCTAAACGGTGCTGCTGGTCTGGTGTGGGTGGCATGCGGCGCAGAGATAGCAGCAGCCCTCTCTGTCATCCCCACGCGCCCAATCTCTTCTTTCCGCTTGCTCCTCCCCCCCCCTCTCTATCCCACCCCTCTCCCTCCTCTTCCAGAGCCCCTCTAAACGGTGCTGCTTGTCTGGTGTGGGTGGCATACGGCGCAGAGATAGCAGCAGCACTCTCTGTCATCCCCACCTGCCCAATCCCTTCTTTCCGCTTGCTCCTCCCCCCCCTCTCTATCCCACCCCTCTCCCTCCTCTTCCAGAGCCCCTCTAAACGGTGCTGCTGGTCTGGTGTGGGTGGCATGCGGCGCAGACATTGCAGCAGCACTCTCTGTCATCCCCACGTGCCCAATCCCTTCTTTCCGCTTGCTCCTCCCCCCCCTCTCTATCCCACCCCTCTCCCTCCTCTTCCAGAGCCCCTCTAAACGGTGCTGCTGGTCTGGGTGTGGGTGGCATGCGGCGCAGAGATAGCAGCAGCCCTCTCTGTCATCCCCACGTGCCCAATCCCTTCTTTCCGCTTGCTCCTCCCCCCCCCCCTCTCTATCCCACCCCTCTCCCTCCTCTTCCAGAGCCCCTCTAAACGGTGCTTCTGGTCGCGTGTGTGGCATGCGGCGCAGCGTGTAGCGGGCCGGGCTGCAGCGGGGGTTGTGACTCTTAGTACGAGGCGAACATGACCCCTTACGCAGTCCGTACGGTGCTCTCACACTCTGCTCCCTCTCCCATATGATTTCACTCAGACTAGTTCATCCCCTCTCTCCCCCCTCTATCTCCCTGCTCTCCCCTACCTCAACCAGAGCCCCTGTTCATGGTGCTGGTGGTGGTATGGGTGGCCTGCGGCACGTGTTACCCAAATCCCACTCTCTCGACCTCTGGTTTCCGCCCTTCTTTGGGAGTCACCCACATATCCTTTTTTCCTATCCATCCGGCTGTCGTAGGTTCATTTCGCAGAGGGGCAGGACCGGATGTGCCTCGAGGCGCCAGACCATGCCATAGACTTCTACCCAACGCTCGAACAGCGCGTGCAGGTGTTGTATGAGGTTATCAGCGAGACGCACATCATCAACATGATGCAGCTGCGAGAGGCCATGGAAGACAAAAACATCATAGGCGCTTTTAAACGCGCCTGGACGTCATGGAAGAACGAACGTGGCTTCCACCTCAAGCGCAGAGTGCTCGTCACTTTCGGCAAGAAGGTGGAAGGCCTGCGTGCAGTCGAACTGTGGATGGGCACCAAGAAGAAGCGGAAGATGTGGAAAAAATACCAACCGAGTGAGTACTTGCGTGACTGTTTTCCATCCCCTATTGACATGTCTGCTCATGCACCCCTCGTGCATGCCCCACGTTGATGAAGCACATACCCCCAATGCATCCCCACTTTGGCACGCGACTACATACCTGCTCTCCTCGCCCAAGCTTGTAGCGCATGTGCAAACACATCCGCATGACAGCCATCCGTTGGTTCTTCTCCCACACTCCCCTTCTCCCGCCCCCCGTTTAACTCCCGCCCTCCTCTTCTCTCCCGCCACCCCCTTCTCTCCCGCCCTCCCTTCCTCTACCGCCCTCCCCTTCTCTCCCGCCCTCCCCTTCTCTCCCGCCCTCCCCCTATCTCCCGCCCACCCCTACTCTCCCGCCCTCTCGCCATTCATTCCCCCCCGCCCTCGATGTTCATCCATACCCTTTGGACAACCCTAAACCATGTCATGCATGATCACGGATGTCTCATGCTTCCCCGCATTGTCATACATGCGCGCAGGAGGGAAACAGCGGGTCAGCTCGTGGGGAAACAACAGAGACGGGCTCCCGTTTGCCAACGGCCGGTTTGTAGATGCGGTCCGGGAAGCATTTCGGAATTTCTGTGTCGGGCGCCGGGTGTGCGTCAAAGCATACCACATTGCCTGGTCAATCATGGTGGTACGCAATTATTGCTCAACCCATGGTATGCTCTAGCTTGGCATGCTGTTTTATAGTCCCTCGGCATGGTATGTGGGGCATTTAGCGCAGCCTCTAAACTCTGCACGCGAGTGTCCACTGAAGTTGCTGTTTTTCCTCCATCCCATACTGTGCTATGCCTTTTCAGATTGACCAGGGCTTATCAAAGGTTAAGAGGACTGACTGGAGCGTCTCCAACTCCCACCGGAAGAACAGTGAATGGATGGGGGGTTTGCACCGTAATGTGCGGTGGATTATCAAGGACCACTTCACACGCCACACCCCCGTGTACAACACAGACGTGAAGGGCTTCAAGTGGGGCGACCGTGGGCTGTATGTTCACGAGTCAAGATTTGAGGCCTTCCGGGGGAAGGCTGAGCTTGATGCCGAAACGAAGGACCTGAAGGAGGAAGAAAAGGAGGTGTACGACTCGAAGGACATGGAGGAGGATAAGGAGGAGGAGGATGAGGAGGAGGAGGAGGAGGAGGAGGATGACGAGGAGGAGGACGAGGAGGAGGACGAGGAGGAGGAGGAGGAGGAGGACGAGGAACAGTGGGGGCAGGAGCGGAGGAAGAGGAAAAGGCACAAGAGACCTAGGGCAGGCGGGAGGGATGAGGAAGAGGATGAGAAACGGGGGGGGCAAGAGCTTAGGAAGGGCAGAAGGCACAAGGGAGGGAAAACCAGGGGAGGCAGGAGGGAAGCGGACGAGGAAGAGGAGAAGGAAGAGGAGCTGGGGGATAAGAAACAGGGGGGGCAGGAGCGGAGGAAGGGCAGGAAGCACAAGAGAGGCAGAGGGCAGGGAAGCAGGAGGGAAGAGGAAGTGGAGGAAGATGAGGAAGAGGAGGAGCAGGAGGATGAGAAACAGGGGGGGCAGTCGCGGAGGAAGGGTAGAAAGCACAAGAGAGGCAGAGGCAAGGGAAGTTGGAGGGAAGTGGAAGAGGAGGAAGAGGAGGAAGAGGAGGAAGAGGAGGAAGAGGATGAGGATGAGGATGAGAAGCAGGGGGGCCAGGAGCGGAGGAAGGGCAAAAGGCACGAAAATGGCAAAAGAAGGGGAGGCAAGAGGGCCAAATGATGGTGTGACGAGACAAGGGGGGCTGCAGATGAGGCATGCGTGGAGTTTACAAAAGGGGACAGCAGGAGAGGCATCAAATACGTGCGAGGAGAGGCATTGGTGGAGACAGCAAGGGGGGCATCAGGGAAGGCACGTGTGGATAGAGAAAGGGGGACAGCATTACGGAGGGGAGTGGTGCAAGGGCCGCAGCAGTATAGGCATGACCGGATAGGACAAAGCAAGCAGCAGTAAAGGCTTGACTGGAGGATGTCTAAGGCGGAGCAGCAGACGCATGACAGGGCTGGACATGCGAGGAAGCAGTGGACGCATGGGCAGGGCAATAGTACCACAATTAGTGAAGGAGGGATGGGAGATGCAGGAAGAGAGGCAGGAAGTGGGGTCGCAGCCAAGGCATGGATCATGGGGGCTAGGTGTAGGGGCGAGCATGCTCGGCCTAGAGCACGAGACATGGGGTGTAGTGGGAGGCATAGTGTACGGGAGCATGAGAAGCAGGTTGATGCAGATCACCCTAACTGGCGGGGGTCTTTGACTAGAGAGGGTGGGGTGTAGGATGCTGTTGTATGTGCCTTTTTTTGTTGAGAATAAAACCCATTTACCAACGCTTCTGTAATGGTCATTTTGGATGCTAGGATGAGGCAACTAAACATCTTGTTAAACAACATGTTAACCATTGCAAGTCTCCAATCCAACTTCATTATAACTAAACCGGATGTCCTTGAAGAGTACAATGCAATGAGATCCAATCTCCGAAATTGCTCTGCGGAAACTCCAACCAAACTTCTGCCGAAGGTTTTCACCTGAGAGGTTTGAACAGAGAAGCATCGCAGAAGCATGCGAACAGCGTTCGACAAAGCATCCAGAAAAAGGTATATACTTTCTCAAAATAGCGTACCAAACAAGACGTTTATAAATCATTTAACAAAGCTTTAAAGCAACTCTTTCCAAAGGTTTTCTGGACGCAGGATTTTTGTGATGCGCGAGGAGTGGGAGGTGCGCCGACGAGAGCAGCACCAGCGCGAGCAGGAGGAGGAGAAGGGGAGACCGCGGCACCGACGGTAGTATAATCGCCATGATCGGCCGAGTTGATCCGACTTTCAAGGCTGCTGAAGATGGAGAGGGGAGTGACCGTGGGCGACGGCTTATGACGCGCAGAACGGATGGATGAGATTCGCCTCTGAGAATCAACGAGTGGCTAGATCAGAATGCCGTAGGAGAATCGGTTCTGATCGGTGAAGGTCGGCGGGGAGAGAGGTGAGGCTGCTGCTCGGATGGTTGAGTTGAAATGCGGAGACTGGTTCGAGTGATGGCGTCTGGTGAAAAGTTATGGGGCAAGGATCTGCTATATAGTATGACATGTTAAAATGAGCGAGAGATAGTGAGTTGAGAGGTGGGGCCTAGGCTTAGTAGCCTAGGCCCGAACTTAGGTATCGAACGGGTTTTCACCTAGGCGAGGTATCGAGTGAGTTGAGAGAGAAATTGTGAAAAGGTGTGTTTCACTATAGGTTCAGGGGTACATATAGCATAGAAACACAATAAGGTGCACCACCAACAAAAGTTTACATAACTACACTAACTACAACTACAAGCAATTATAAAACATGACAAAGTATTTCGACACGCCCCCATAATGCTTGTAGGTAGGTGTGTAGTTATAGCAACAGCAGGTACCCCTACCATCTCCTCACCCTCCTCCTTCCCCTCCCCCACACTGCTGCAGAAGCAGCAGAGAAAGGGGGAAGAGAGGAGAGGTGGAGGGACGGCTGCTTGTTGCCTCACACCCGCCACCCCGGTACCACTCCCCCTCTTCACCCACATCCTCACACCCTCCTCCCCCAGCGGCAGCTGCAGCGGTGGGACTGAAAGAAGGAGGAGGGAAAGGGAGAGAGTTGACCCCACGCTCCAACACCCTCCACCCCCATACCCTCCTCCCCACGGCTGCAGGGAGACAAGAGAAAGGGGGGGGTGGGAAGGAAGAAAGCCGCAGAGCGGCGAAGAGGCGTCGGTGCAGATGGGTCAGGGGCGGCAGCAGGGAGTGCAGGGGCGGAAAGGCCCGTCGCGGGCCAGTGCCACGGGGCGCACGACGGGTAGAATAAAAGGGCCCGATCGTGTGCCTCGGGGCACACGACGAGCAGGGCACCATCGTGTGCCACGGGGCGCACGATGGGCAGTAGAAGGGCACCGTCGCGTGCCACGGGGCGCGCGACGGGCAGGGGGAGTCACACGCCCGTGGGCGGGACAAGGTAAAAATAAAAACCGTCACGCGCCCTAGGCGCGCGACCGTAAAATCTTAGCAGCGGAAGTAAAGCGGGCCCACAGGCCAGGACGAACACTAAGCTCCGATAACATGTTAAAATGAGCGAGAGATAGTGAGTTGAGAGGTGGGGCCTAGGCTTAGTAGCCTAGGCCCGAACTTAGGTATCGAACGGGTTTTCACCTAGGCGAGGTATCGAGTGAGTTGAGAGAGAAATTGTGAAAAGGTGTGTTTCACTATAGGTTCAGGGGTACATATAGCATAGAAACACAATAAGGTGCACCACCAACAAAAGTTTACATAACTACACTAACTACAACTACAAGCA